CATCTCTAGAATGACCAACACCGCCTTCGACCACCTCGGTGGAAACGAACATCTCCGCTTGTTTAATCTTATTGGTGGTAAAAAATTGGACCATGGCAAACGTCCTCCTGAATGGTAATGAGGAATTCCTCATTCCACTGCGACCCACCATGTCTGTTTGGATATCGATACACCATACGATCAACTCTTCTAGTGCCATCCATGCAGGTAACCTCAGTGTACATTTGATGGAGCTCTTCAAGCATCGGTCTCATACGAACCTTCATTTTATAAAAATTGCCACCCACGTAACTTACCCTTTTTGGTCTCTTCCGTGTAACCATTCCACCGCAACCCAAACGTGAACCTTTGGAATGTCATCTGCAACAAAACTGTAATTAAGTTACTAACATAAAAATTACAAATTACAATGAAAAGTAATACAAAACAAACTTACAAATTAAGGTTAATCGCAAAAACTAAATAATTTAAAGGTGCACAACTGAAATTTGAAGAAGAAGGAGTGGAGTGAAGATTTTGAGTTTTCTGGACTTGCCTTTTATAGGCAAATTTTCACTGAAAACCGCAAGGGGGGTTACTTTCCGCCCAATTAGAAGAAGAGAAAACTTTCTTGTTCTCGGCGATGACGCCCTAGTGCAGAACTGGGTGAGTGAAATGGCGACTTACCTGATGAATCGAGTGAGATTGGGAATGGCGGCTTCAAACCGGGCCGTCATTGAATTCTCTAGTGAGGAAAGCTTTATAGGAGATTGCTTCGTTGCTGGATTTGATGGTGATTACTTCATTGCTCTGTTTGTACCCTTCTCCCTCTTTATATTCCCCCTTTTCAATTTCAATTCCCTTCTATTTTCTCTTATCTCTTCCCCAACTCCTCGGACACCGCTCTGCAAATGGAAGAAGACGACGGTGGGTTCGCCGCCGTACGGACAGTGATAGAGAGGGATAGGAGGAGCTGGCGAGTCGCGAAGTCGTCGGCGGTGTTGAGGAAGCCGGCGATGGGGCGAAGCGACCTGACCGTCTTGCTCCCCGGAATCCGATCGATCGGAGAAGTGAGAACGGAAAGCTGACGTCTCGAGATCGAGAGAGAGAGGAAGAGCTGGCCGTGGGAGATGCTTTTTTCCCTTTTAGTTTAATTACTTGGGTTTGGGTTTTTTAATCCAAATCCATGAGTAAAACCCAGCTGGACCCAACATTATGGGTATGGGTGTTGACCCATTAGATTTTACCCATTTGTATTTGACTTGGATTGCAGACCCGACCCACCTGGGTTGGATATTTAAAACCCAATGGGCATGGGTAATTCTGTCATCTCTAATGTCTACCACAGTTCTCAAACTTAAGTGATATGTCTACACCAATTCTCAAAATTAAGTGATCCCGAGGTATTTTACCCCAAATTCCACAAACAAACGGACACCTTAATTTGTATACACCACATATTTCCTAGACCAGTTTGTCCAGGGATTTAGATTTATACTCTTTTTTTTTTTTCCTATGGCAAGAGCAGAGTGATGAACCAGTTTTCAGATGTCAACCCTGTTTATACAAGAAAAGGAATGAATATGTATCTGGCCATGTACTCAACCGAAATTCAAAACTACTTATCTTCTTCACATAATCAGCTCAAAAAGATGGAAAGGGAAGAAGTTGGAGGGTGGGAGAGGAAGACTGAGGAAATAGGATAAGGTCGTCGAGTATAATAAGGATTAGGGTCAAAAGACGAAAGCACTGCAGAGCCATGGAATTAGTTGAGCTAGAGAAGACCTATCCAAATCCAACTCTAACTTATTGATAATACCTATCAGATGAAGCAATTCTAGAGTGAAAGAAAGGTGGAGAAGAAGTCATATTTGTGAGAAGAAGCTGTGCACTCAAACTCCAACGTGCGTCAGAAACAGAGATTTATCATATTTATCAAACCTATCACTTGCTTGAACCAATTGAATGATCTAGTTCGGTCTTGTTGAACCGTTTTCTCAATGAATTACTTGATGAAACCCTTTCTGATTGATTAATCCATTATTCGGTTATATTTTTTTGTCAAACAAGAAAAGAAGGAAAGTCGATAATGACATTTTCACAGTTCAAACTCATAAAGAGCAAAAAAGGACGTCACTCCCAAATACCTTGTCAAAATGACAAAAGGAGAATTAACAACGATAAAGAGAAAGATAAACTTTAACAAGTTTAGAATTTGAGTGTTAAGAAGATTTGTAGAGTTGGAATTGAGAACATCCTCCTTCAAAAAGTATTCCGAAACAGCAGATTTCATTAACTCGGAAATATGATAGAGATCAAGTATATTTTTTTATTCATTGTTGGTACACATTTTTTACACCAAAATAAAATATTTTGGTGTCAACATACATTCTCTCGAATGAAAGCCAAGTTTAAAAATTTCACAAGTCCACTATGTATATTGTGTTTAGATCAATTGATAATATTGAGGGCAGTTTTAATACAAGATGTGTCGGTAAGAGGGTATAACAAGCTTATCTTAATAGCTCATCTTAACTTGCTCATCCATTCATAAAAAAATGTGTACAAACAAGAATACATTGATGATCAGTAACCATATTACCCAGTGCTGTCAAAGCCGAACCGAGCCGGCCGGCCGGACCGCCAAAGGCGCCACCCGGCCGCAAAACCGGCTCGGATCAGCTATTTAACCGCCACGATTTAATACAGCGGCCGGCGAGCGGCCGAAGCGGTTAACCGCTCGAGCCGGTCGCTCGGTTCGGCCGTTTAATTAACCCTAAAAAAAAAAAGGAATTGGCAGCCGCCAGCCAAACAAAACTGAAAACCCTACCTTTCCTTTTCTTTCTCCAGTTCTTCGACCTGAACAAACGAAACGACAGAGGGAGAGCGGCGCCGTCAACCATCGCCAGCGCTTCCGTCCCGTCGCCGCAAGCAGCTCGCCGCCGCAAGCAGAGAGCCATCGCCAGTCGCCCTCGCCAGTCGCCATCGTCGCTTCTCGCAAGCAGCAGTCGCCCTCGTCAGTCGCCATCGTCGCCAGTCGCCCTCGCAAGCAGCAATCGCCGCCGCAAAGAACGGTTGTGAAGACTGCCCTGCTCACCGCCGCAAAGAACAGCCGACTCACCTCCTGCTCGAGGTAAGTTTCCTATCAAAAACTGCCCTGCTCGAATGGATTAATGCTTATATGGCTCAACCAGTAAAAAGAGAAAGAGATATCAAAGCTGTAATTAGTTTGCAAAATCCAATTCGAAGAAAAAACTAAAGAGATCGAGAAAGGAATTCGAAGAAAAGCTTTCTCAAAGCTGTAATTACTAATTAGTTTGCAAAATCCAGCAAAGAGATATCAGAATGAACTGAAATGAAGGAAACAAATTAACAAACAAAGCCAAAAAGAAGAGGAAACAATTTCCTAGCAGCAACCACTAAAGATCGACCAAACAAGTTAGATTGTCAACCGACTCATGTGAGCTTTACCTAATCCCTAGGGTGCCTCCTAGAATGGTTTAGAATGGCTTAAGAGAGTAATTTACTTGTGGTTTACCATGATTAAGAAGTGTCTACTATTACAGATGACTGTTTATTAGGTACTGGTTCTCAAACGGTTTTTAAACGGTTTAATGTCGGCTGGACCGCTAATGACCAAGCCGTTCACGTTACCGGGTCATACTCCGGCTCGGCTTTGACAGCATTGATATTACCTATCATAATAAATTGTAATTTTAAGATTCACACCATACTCTGATACGACCATCAGGTCGCGTCAAGGCAACACAATAGTAACCGTTGCATACGAACTCTTCATCTGTCAACGTGAAGATGAAATGAAAGTATACACATGAAACTTTTGCTACCTAGATTGCTTATCTCAATCATATTTGCATCAAGAAGACCAAATTAGAGCTTGAAAAGCTCAGATCCAATCATGTAAAGCATATATGATCATAAGATATCACGTATTAATACACTCACATATGGCCTAATATAATCCCTTAATTGTTGTTTTTCTTTTGGGTGGTAGCAGGGGCATATATGGTTTTTCTCATCGCTATTGTCTTGTTCTCATTTTTGTATTTGCTGAAATCTCAATCATTAAGCATTGAGAAATCAAGAAGCATCTTCCACCATGTATTAATTAAGAATCAAAACATAATAATGGGTACAGTCTCTAAAAAATTTAGCCATATACCCCTGGCCACCACCAATGAAACAAAGGGGAACGGTCTTATGTTTGTTTTAAAATGAATCATTGTCAGCCTTGTGTTGGTTGGAAGCACAAACAAGGAACGACCTAATCAAGCACACCATGTGCATTTCATGGCTGGACCTTGCTGTCTCTCTTGCCCTAGCTAGCTAGCTACACACCATATAACTCAACTAACGTATACACACACACCAACAAATTTCCATTTCCTTTCCCAACCATTTTTATTTATAATCCAACAATTTCTTCGTGGTTCGATATGTCTTCTGAAAGCACAAGCCATGACGATTTTATTACTTAATAAAAATAAGACGATAAGAGAATTAATTGATTGAACCATTTTTATTTATAATCCAACAATTTTTTCGTGGTTCGATATGTCTTCTGAAAACACAAGCCATGACGATTTTATTACTTAATAAAAATAAGACGATAAAAGAATTAATTGATCGAAGTTACAAATGAAAATTTTATGATCAACTATCATCTTGATTATCCAATCTGTAACGGTGGATCTGATTACTCAACTCAACCACTATGTATATTGATGATTCCTTACAATATTATTAACATTTAACTTTGGAGATTATATGCTTTCCACTTGGTGAGGAGAAAAGAAAGTAAGAAAGAAAGAAAAAAAAAAATAGATTTGAGGGAATATAAATGGGTTGTATGAATCTTTAGTTGGAAGGTGATGTATGAGATTAGCTTAGGGTGGTTGCTTGTTTGGGGCAGCAATTGATGATCAAATCAATCAAATCAGGTACAGTACATTTATATATAACGATAACTAATAAGCCCTCCAATCAGGCATTCCACTCCACGACGGCCGTGATTGAGGTTACAGCGAAGCCACGTGAGATCGATAGGTTTGTGATTCATAATTTGATATTAAAAATCCAAAAGGAGAAACTGAAAAAAAAAAAAAAAAGAAGAAGAAGAGAGAATTAAAGAAAGATTCATTTTCGTTCTTGGGTTGGCGACAGGCGTATATTGCCCAGCAAGATCACTATCCATGGCCATTGACGGAGCTGGCTGGCTGGCTGGCCGCCAATTCATGCCACCCCTTAATCCTTATTTGTTTGTAAGTTCAATCAAAACTCTCCCCAATTCAATCCTCCATCTTATAATTTGTGCTCAATTAACCCCCTTGCTCAGTATGTAATTTTTGTTATGACAAGTGATCTTGGCACATACATATACTAGGTTAGAACGCTTCACGAATATTTAAAAGAATCAATAAAAGTTGGGGGTTTTCACGCTCATATTCTTGCTAGTAGTCACCAATAATTTGTTTCCCGGATGCGGAAGAATTTATTGGGTCTCTACTCATTTTTATTTATGGAAGTGGATTGGTTAGAGGTTAATAAAAGTGCTATTTTGACATTTAAACTCCGAACCATCAAGAATAGTTCAAGTGGTAAGGCACAAATACAGTATTTTACGTCGGAATTGCACTTCATGAATTTGCCAAATATTCACGAAGATACAGGTAGAGCCAACGTATACACAAAATAACTTATCATACAAAAAGAAGAAAAATATTTCAACCTTAGTTGGACTTGATTGGTGTGATTCAATGAGCTAATGTATGTATTATCTGCATATAAAAAAAAAATTGTGGAGGAGAGTCATATTATTTTTAATGATTAGATATGTAGGAGAGGAGACACTTGGGGTGTAACGGTTGCGTAATAGAGCTAGAGCTGGACATTCCAACCCTCCGTCCGAATAGATATATAAATTTGAGAGGTGGCAGGCAGAAGAGTGTTCATTTCATTTCATTTCATTTCATTTGTTCCTTCCTTCCATTATTCATATATATCTCTTCTCTTCCAGCCAACAAGTTAGGGAAAAAGACAGGGCAGACTTATTACACTGTGGGGTTGGTTTTGTCTCTCTGGAGTAAGTGAGATAGATACATACATACATATATTGGTTTCATTAATTTCCTGATAGAGATATCCATCCCTTTAATTCCCACCCAATTTTCGATATTTGGGAGAGAGCTTATCCTTCCTTCTCCAACCTCAGCGCTCCCTCTAAGGTAATTATTACTTCATCTTCTGTCTGTCTGTCTGTCTGTCAATCATATACTTCCTCGGATCTACCTCTCTTCTGTCTCCGATCTAATCTAATTTGGTGGCTGTTTCTGTTTTAGTGACGAAAGTCTAGATCGAGAGGAAAAAGTATGGGGTACTGGAAATCAAAGGTTTTGCCCAAGATCAAGAAGGTGTTCGAGAAGGACAGCGCCAAGAAGGCCGCCGCCGCTGAAGCTACCAAAGTGTTCGATGCCTCCAAGGTAATCAATTATATTAGTGCATGTTTTATAATTAAACAAGTCTTCTTCTTGATTATTACTTTGTCCGGCCGCCTGTCTTTTGTTAATTTCATGGTCTCTGTCGTTTTGGGATTTGGGTTGATTAATACAGGAGGACATAAGCAAGGAGTTCGAGGAGAAGAAGGTTGAACTCCAGCCTAAGGTCCTGGAAGTCTATGAAGCATCCTCCGCCGAAATCAAGGTAATTATTTCATTAATCAACACATCCATCCATGTCATCAAAGAAAAGGGTCCGTTATTCGTAATTAACCTAACCTTGTATTTAACCACGGGCAGACGGTGGTTAAGGAAGGAACGGAGGCGGGACTGAAGAAGCACTCCGCCGCCGTGGTCAAATTCGTCGAAGAGCTTGTTAAAATCGGTAAATAATATTATTAACTATTTCTGTTTGTAGAAAAAACAAAATATATTTTGATTATTTCCCCCTTCCTTAGATTTCTTACCGTTTTCGGCCTGACTAGTAAATACGAATCCATTTAATACATGTATATATGACACAGTACTTACATATTTTATACCTAACTTATCTGTAACTATTTAACTAACTATGATTGGCGTAATATGGGCCTGCAGAATTCCCTGGATCAAAGGTGGTGTCGGAGGCATGCTCCAAATACGGCCCAGCCTACGTCCCCGGCCCGGTCCTCTTCGTTTTCGAGAAGGTTTCCACTTTTATCCCCGTCGAAGAAAAGCCGGCCGAGCCGGAGGCGGAAGCTCCAGCTCCGGCTGTGGAGGGGGAAGCTGCAGCCACCACCACCAGCACAGAGAAGGAGATCGTCGTTGAGGAAGCCGCCGCCCCACCTGCAGCGGAGGCTGAGAAGCCTGCCGACACACCGGCGGCTGAACCCGCCGCAGCAACTGAGGCGCCGGCCGCCGTCAAGGTGGAGGAAGCAGCGCCAGCTGCTGCTGCCGCCGCCCCGGAGGCACCAAAGCCTTGATCATGAGCCAAAAACAAGATATGCAAAGTAATTAATTACTATTCTTGCGTTTTGTTTTCTAATCACGAAGTTAATTACGTGGTTTATTTGTGAAAAAAAGAAAATAATTATCATGTATCCTGAAAAAAAAAAGAGGGGGACTATTTGTTATTCTTTATTAATACTGTGTATCCTTCTTTCCTCGATCTCTCTTGTATTTTTCTCGTTTCTGTGTATTATTGTGATTTTTCTTCATGTAAAGTTGTTTGTGGGTGTATTTTTTTTGTTACTGTTTAGACAGACACATTTATCCATATTATTGGTGTATATTAATTAAATGAAATTATGTTTGTGGATGTATTAGCAATATTATATTCCACGTCCTTATCGTAATAAATAGTTTGTGTATGTATACATGTATGGATTATTATGGACGTACGTAGCTGTGGGCAGAGGAGAGGAGGACACAATTATTGATATGTCTAGTTGGGAAGGAGGTGGCGTGTGCGTTACTACTTGACATGACATGTTCTTTTTTTGGGTTTATCTATAGATAGCTCCTTTGCCATGTGTATTTGGTCTCCATTGTTGGCTTAGCCGTAGGGACCCAAATGGAACGGTCCTAAAATGAATTGACAACTAAGGAAAGGAACGTTGAAAAGGGGAAACATAATGGTTGCTTGACAAGGGAAGGGCAAGTTGATGGTTGGGGAAGGAATCTATCTAGTCTATAATTCATCTCTTTCTTCCTAGCCAAATTAATAGGTGGAAATGAATTGGTGAAAGCTAAGGTATTAGAATGAAGAACGGATCGAGTTGAACTTGTTAGCTAGCTAGCTAGGTGGATTCTCAAGAAGAGACTAGAGAGATCTTGTTTTTTTAAGTTCGATTTGGTCGATTTTAGAGAGGTCGGAGGCTGATGTCTCACTTAGTTTGATGTTTCGTAGGGCAACTAGTTTTACTATGTTGTTGGTTGTTTGACTATAGTTTATAGGTCTAACTGGAACATTTGATTGTGGCATAGCAGAAGGCTTGGGGTGTTGGATACAATGATTAGAAGAGAGAGATTGTCGATTGTGACCATAATCTGGTTTCAAAAAATCTGCGAATAATAAATTTTCCGTCTCTCCATTTTCATTATAGTCCATCCAGTTGATCTTTTGTTATTGTATCTACAAATACCTATAAGCCAATGTCAATAAAAACTTATTGCCACATCAGCTCGTGCTGTTCATACCGCATGACTCGGAGGGATTAATTTGTCATCTCCGCCTCCTGTACTCTTCTTGCCAAAAAGGCAAAAACCGTCCACTACTGTGACTTCCTTTTTTTACGTTTTACAATCCAACAAATATTTTTTCCTTTTCTACAAGCCAACGAGGCAACGACTACTAAGCCACTTCTTACACTAAAAACAAATCATTATTTTTGTGCAAATTTAATCTTTTGAAGCCAACAAAATAAATATTATCTGCGTTTCAATATTTTTGTTATAGGTTCCTCTTTTTCATTAACCTTGCTCTAATATTTCCAAGACCCATTTTGATCCTAGAAGAAAAAAAGTTCAATGTGAACAACCCCATAATCTTTTCAGAGATAAAATTTTTAATCATATATTAGTGAGCTGATACTTTTTTCTTGAGAAATTGAATCCTCAATAGATAACCAAAATGGTTTAGGTTCCAATACAAAACTGTTTCTTACGTAGATTTACAAAAACTATATACAACTGTTGCAATTGAGAAAAGGGAATGGTCCTTATCTTTATATCATAAAAATATAAGGAGAGAAATAAGTGATTTTTGGGAACAGTTGATCGGATTTTTTGGCGCCAATGACCTGATTTTTGGTACTGCTACGAAGTTTAGGCATGCTACTAAAACATTTTTCAAATCTCCAGTGAAAATTCAAAGATTCATAACTAATTCATTTTACATTGTATTTCAAAAAATTTGCTTAGAAAGATCAAGTTTTTGATATCTTTGATTTTTTATTAGCAAAATTTCTACGTTATATTACCACTATCATATCATGATATTATGGTATGGGGGGTTGTCAGTCTTACCATAGTAGTAAGATTATAGTGACAGAGATGAGATGATATGAAGTCTAATAATAGTGGTAGATGTTGGTATGACAATTGTAAGATAGTAAGAAGTTTTATTTTTTAGTAAAAATTGATATCATCATACCATGATATTATCATTGTATCATATTATAATATCATTATATGATATGGGCATATAATCCTGCTGTCAATCATACCATAGTGGTAAGTCATTATATAACAGTGATAGGGATTACATCAAACACGTATTTTTGAAAGACTATTTGTTTTTATTGTTCAAAATATAGCAAAATATATATCATTGTGTAGATCATAAGTTCATATGTACAGAATTTTAATTTTCTTTAGTTAAAGCGAAAGAGATATAACATTATCACTATCATGCCATGAAGATATGGCGATGATAAGATTACAACCAGCACGTCATATGAACAACAATTTTTTTGCTAAAAATATAATAAAATAAATATCATTGTGTATTTCTAATTACTGCATTTTTCAATGTAATTGTTTTTGTGAAATTCATGTTACTTTTTTAATTCCGAGATAAAATGAATGGGATATAATCTAATTAAGAAAACATAACTATTATAACTGGTCAAAAGTCTCCCTTTCTCCTCTAGATTTGTATTTGTAAAAACTAGGGCTGTCAGACGTCAGTCGGTCGGTTTCGGTTTAACCGAAAACCAATTTCTCGGTTATCGGTTAAACCGAGCCACCACCTTCCACTGCCGGCCACCGACCGTGAGGGACACTGCGATTAGCCGACCACCGACCGGTCAGGTATCGATTTTGGTTCGGTTAGCCGCACTCCCTTATCTCCAAAAAAATAATTAAAAAAATAAAAAAACCCAAAATTCCTCCCACCACTCATTCCTTATCACCTCCATCCTTCTCTCTCCTTCATTTCTCGGTTTCTCCATTCAAACCCTCCCTCCCCACAACCTCACCGCCCTCACGACCTCACCTCCTCAATCCTCTCCCACGCCGACACCCGCCGCCGCCTCTCTGCCCTCCTCACCTCCCCCGCCGCCTCCTCCCTCGCCCTCTCCCACCTCCACTCCCTCTCCCTTCCTCAAAAAACCCATCTCGTCGCCAAACACTTCCTCTCCTCCCTCCACCACCTCACCTCCCACTTCTCCCCTCCCCCGCCGCCGCCGCCTGCTGCCTTCCACCACCGCGACGCCGACGCCGACGCCGCCCTCCTCCTCCTCCTCCCCTGCCGTCAAATCTAGCTGGTCGAGCCCGAACCTGTTCTCCGACGTGTCTTTGCAGGGCGGTGGTGAACAAGGTGAACGAGCTCGGGGAGACGGCTCTCTTCACCGCGGCAGAGAAGGGCCACCTGTGAGGGAGCTGTTGAGAGAGGTTACAGCTTCTTCTTCTTCTTCTTCTTGGATTTGAGAATATTTTTAGATAGGCTACTGCTTCTTCTTCTTCCTGGATTTGGGAAATTTTTTTGATTCAAGATGTGGGAATGGAGATGAATCTGGACAGGATTTTGGGGAAGGTTAAGTGGGTCTCGGTTGGGTCCGGTTAGTCGGATAATCGCGGTTAATCACCGTCGGTTACTCGGTCAACCGACCCCTTTCTTTTCCCATCCGACCACCGACCGCCTAGGTAACTGGTCGGTTTTCGGTTAGCTGATAACCGGCGGTTTTCGGTTAAAACCGGCGGTTATCCGCTAACCGCAAACCGAAATGCCAGCCCTAGTAAAAACTAAAACGAAATAGTAATTGACAAAGGGGCACGGAATTCCCCTCCACCCTTCTTATCCTTATATGAGTTGTTGGGTATATTATGATTGATTGTTAAACATTAAAATTTTAAAGAGATTTGTAGAATAGAGTTTTGTATCTCATCCCTTTACAAAAAGAATTGGGTCTTCAACAGGTTAATATAAATTGGAGTTTCGATAGACCGATAAAAATGGGGAATAGATAATAAGTTTCTATTAATATGAAAAACGATAGAGAGGAACGAGAAATTCATTAAAAAAGAGAGAGGTACACAGAAACAAGTTATTAATTAATGGGCGTATATCATAGTCGCATAAGAATTTATCCATAAATAGATTTGGAAGTTCAACTTGATTCTTTTTATTTATTTATTTATAGAAGCTAATTCACATGAATATCCTTTTAACTCTAGCCTATTTGAAGTTTCTCATTAAATTCATCTATTAAGTAATATCATATTATTTTTATCTTCAATGTTCCGCTTAGTTTATTACAAGGTATCTTATAATTTTAAGACGAAATGTACATTTTTATCTTGAAATTTTAGTTTTACACTATGTATGTATTTTCACATAATTGTCCAATTGTAACAATTTTGAAAAATTTTAATTATATTTTTTTACTAACTAAAATGAAGAGATTTTCACTCATTCATTGTGATAAACATATAAATATCTAACTGTGTGTTATCTGACAAAATAAAATATTAATTCGTAAAAAATCAACTACCCGGCCAATCGGTCGGGCCACAATCTAGTTAGAATTAGTATAATGCTCAAATAATTTTCAAATCTTTATTGATTTTGATAAAGGTTGTAATGCATTGCATTCATTTATTACTTATAATAGGTCAAAAATAAAATAAACAAAAATATCAAATCAACTGCTTTATCCCTTAACACATATAATAATTTTCTCTATTTTTTGTTTATTTTTTCGTCTCTCTCTAACATAGTCTCAAGCTATCAAATCGGTTTTTACCGTTGTTCTGATTTAGTAATTGGAATGGTTCAATCAATGGTACAATCGATTTATGCCGGTTTAACAAAATATTTGAAAATGTAAAAACCCATTAATATCAAATAAATTTAATTGTACATAAAACAAATTTGAAGATAGTTTACTCATAACTTATATTCATATTTAAATAAAATATGACATTCCAAATAAAATAACACTAACTAGTATAGGTGTCAATCGGGCGGGTTGGGGTCGGGTTCAGTCGGGTCGCGGGTTAATCGGGCTGCGGTTCAGACGGATTGCGGGTCAAGCGGGTTGCGGGTTGACCGGGTTGCGGGTTGATCGGGTTGCGGGTTAATCTGGTTGCGGGCAAATCGGGTTTGGGTTGAACGGGTTGCGGATCAGTCGGGTTTCGGGTTGATCTGGTTGCGGATCAATCGGGTTCTGGTTGATCGGATTGCGGGTTACATTCACAAGTTAAATTAATTGTTAAAATCAAATTAATTACTAAACTATAAAAACCAAAATATCTATCATAAAGCATAACCATGAAGAAACCCTAATCCTAAACCCTAAACCCTATAACACCATTTTAAATATGGAACCTAAAACTAACCTTAACCATCAACTATACATTATCCTAAATAACAACATTAAGTAATTAACCCTAAAACTAACCTCAACCCTTAACCATAAGTCAATTACCCAAACAGGCAAACATTGAACTCTAAACCATGACCCTATACGGCTATACCCTATACTATAGTTATAACTTATATGTTATAAAATTGTTGGTATAAGCTATAACGTATGTTACGTGAAGAATGTAAGTTGAGTCAATTTTATATTCGGTTATTGAGAAGAACATACCTCCTATGACTCCAAACTCTAAACCAAGAGTCCACTACCATATACCCTATACACTAACCTTAAACCATGAACTATAGTTATGTATTATGCACTACAGAAAAACAGGTTTCTAGTCACGAGATCTTATTCACGAGAACTTTTCCCGTACCCAGAAGTACACTGTCAGTCACTGGAAAATTTCATGTACTTACTTGTATAGTTTTAATCACAGGAATTAATTTACCTATTTTCAATTATCATTTCCCGTAATTAATTGTTAGTCACTGTTAATTACCGTGAAAAATAAGAAAATTTATTATTATAAATTTTAGATCATAATGATAATGATTTTTATTAAAAATATGATGGGTAATATATTTATTTACTAAAGTTTAAAGATATGTGACAAAACCTCAATATTTGATAATATAATTTTATGTAAAAGTAATTTTATATACAAAAATTAGCTCCCTCATTTTTTATCACACAACTTCAAATATTTTGTTTTTAAATTTTAACGTGGTTAATTGTAATAAATAGTCGAGACTCTAATTTTGCGAGCAAAAAATTTCCGCAGATTGCAAAGCGCAAACGCAATTTTGGCTACCGAAAATTTGGGCTCCATTTTGGCATGCCGCACTTTTTTCCCTCCTCCATTTTTGCTGCAAAAATTTGGCCGCCATAATTTTACCTCAACTGAAATTTTGGCTCCACAACCACAATCATCAAATATTGGCGCTCTCTCCATCAATTTCTTTTAGACATAAAAACAAAACTAGAAAAATGCACCAAAGCTTTACCCTTTTCACTTTCACTTTCCAGTGTACCCTTTCGCTTCGTTCTCTCACCTCTGTTTGTTGATGGAAGAGAATGGAACCAAACCTAATCTGAAACCCACCTGTTCCCCTCAAATTAGTGTTCTCGATTCAAGTCTCGATTCAGATGAACTCGAAGTCTTCTCGATTCTCATCAAGAGCTAATCCTATCTGTGCTTTTTATTCTGTGCCCAACGTTCTTCATAGTCGGACCGGAGCGGAACTGTTGCAATGTGCAGAACGCCTCCTTCACTTCTGACCGTGTGGTGAGTTTTTAAATTAGTATAGGAGTTCCAGATCAATTTTATTGTCAGTGTAGAAGCTGAAGTTTGATAACCGAGAAGTGTGCCCTAGAAGATTCATAATTAGGAACCAATGAAATGCTTCAGTTTTTTGTTCTATCTTATCCAAACCAGATGATTCATGTTTGTCCCTATTTTCTCAGGTTTCAACGGAAAGATGTAATAGATATGGAGTGGTCTGTCAACTCTGCATTTCTTATTCATTATAGTTCATGTTCTGATTCTTTTGTTTTTGAAGCTTCCAATTGTTCTGATTCTTTTGTATTGCATGTTGTGATTCTTGGATCCTTTGGGAAAGTACGTTTCTAGTTGTGCTTGCAGGTATGGCTCTACATGATATTAGTCTCCTTTCTTTACTGAAAGCACTCCTCTCATAGCATTCGTTGCTGGTCTTCACTATGCAGCCATAACCGACATCAATTCCTCTTCTCAAAATGGATACATCAACTTGTGACCTATGGGTTTTGGTGTTTATCTAATGGATACATCAAGCTTGTGAAGGCTTTGAACCGTGTACCTTGATGGGAAAGACCAGCACAAAATCCAGTAGTCCACTTAACTAATTTGTTACAATTCGAACTTGTTAGTTAAATTTACCAAGGTTCAACTGAAAGGCAGAGAGACCAGAATTGGTGGGAAAGATGAAAAAATAATAGAGCAAGTCACGCAAACTTTATATATATTATCTACATATAATATTTATGCACAAAAATATATTACGTAGTATTATTCGTGCCAATTGGGCGGGTTCGGGTTGGGTTAATCGGGTTCGGGTTAGTCGGGTTACGGGTCAAGTGGGTTGCGGGTCAAGCGGGTTCGGATCAAGCGGGTTGCGGGTCAAGCGGATTGCGGGTCAAGCGGGTTGCGGGTCGGGCGGGTTGTGGGTCTTTGACTTTTAGTCCAATCGGGTTGCGTACGGGTCGCGGATCGGATTAGGTGAGCGGGTTACTCGGGTCGGGTAATGTTTTGACACCTATACTAACTAGTCAACCCACCATCTAGTACAATACTGAAACTAATATAAATTGGGAGAGATTGATGTTAAATATCGTATGTATATTTACATACGATATTTAACATGAATATCTAAACATTTATACTTGAATCCAACAAATAACATTAACATTAAATTTTAAATTAAGAAATAAATAATGAATTTTTATCAATTAAATTCACTAAAACAATAATAATTTTTTATTAATTAAATTCATTAAAAACAACTTCATTTTTTTTAGAAATCATAAATAAATTAGGAACCTCCTACCATGCCTTGATGTTACTATAACTTGACGTTTTTGACCTGCTATAGCAAGTTTTATAGGTCGCGTTACGTAAAACTAATGTTTATTACGTAACAATTACGTAATGCTTGTTAGTCTTACGTAACAGTTAAACTAGAAGCGTTACGGAAGGTTTCCGTAATGACTTATCATTTTACGTAACGCTAGGTTAATATTCATTACGTAAAAGCATCGTCTATTACATAAGGCTTCCGTAATGACATTTTACAACTGTTACATAAAATACACGCTCATTACGTAAAGATTACGTAACGAATGTTATTTCTTATGTAACAGTTAAATTGGAAGTGTTACGTAAGACATCCGTAATGACTTACCACATTACGTAACTTGATTAATATCATTACGTAAAAGGACCATCCATTACGTAAGGCTTCCATAATGCCACTTTACAATTGTTACGTAAAGTATGCATCTATTACGTAAAGGTTACGTAACGATAGTTATTTCTTACGTAACAGTTAAATTAGTAGTGTTACGTAAGCCTTCCGTAATGATTCAACAGATTACGTAACGAAAGGTTAATATTCATTACGTAAAATGAGTGTCTATTACGTGAGGTTTCCGTAATGACATTTTTCAACTATTACGTAAGATAAACACACATTACGTAACCATTACGCAATGCCTATTGTATTTTACGTAATGCGACTTGTGAAGCCTGTTATAGCAGGTCAAAAACATCAAGTTACCCTAACTTCAAAGTATTGTAGGAATTTCCAATAAATTATACCGGTCATACTAGTAGTGGTATTCACGTCAAATGTTTTAACATTGGTTGAACCAACGAACCAGGTTCTATCAGTCGACATTCCATCAACATGACAGTCATGCCCTCACTCATCCATCGTTATTAAAACTAAAAATAAAATCCTAAAACATACTCAGTTTTCATTGTTGGCCAATGGCCATACTACAATTTTGCTTCGGTACAATTGGCAGGTGATTGGAGAGTGGAAGAAGAAGAATAACAACAAAAATACAATGAGAAAAAAGGAATATATGGCTTTGAATGGTGATTCTGGTCATCTAAAATTTTCTCTCTTAATGAGAATTTCACATTGTGATTAGTGATTATGGGTTGGTTACATCATGAAGTAAATAAAAAGAAAACAGAAAATAAAGGATGATGGGTATAGTAGAAACCCATCAACAGTGGCGGATACAGGGGGTGGCCACCCCGGCCCCGGCCCAGCCCTTCCCTGGATCCGGAACTAGTGTATCCCTTATGAGTTTATCGATTTAACCATTTGGCCCAGTGTTATTTTATAATAAAATTGTGTGTAATTAGGAAAATGGGTAAGATGAACATATTCAAATCACAACTCTAAATTTAGCATGAAAATTCTAGCTCCAATAGTTCTCATATAAAGAAAAGCAAACAATGAAACCTAAAATTCTAAAACGTAAAAGACTAAAAGAAATATGAGGTTTATTCTCTTAAGAAATTACTTGAGCAGCTGTTGAAAATAGGAATTGATTAGTGGATTGTGTTGACATTTGCGCAACAAAATGAACGATGAATTTCTCTCCAATTGGTTAACTATTTTATCTTAAAGAGAGTATGCTATTGATGTGGATGTAAACTCTATTATTGATGAATTCACTATATTAAAATTTAAAAAATTTACGTGTACAATTGATATTGTAAAAAAAACTGTGATTTTTTTACGATATCTAATTTTCTAATGAAATGCGGCCCAGTGCTACGCTGTGTCCTGGATCCGCCGCTGCCCATCAACCGTGATGCCCCAAATGGACAAAACTCAAGAGCTCAATTAGAAACTTTGTTAGTGAACTGTAATGGAGATTTAGAGGAAAAAATCCAAAATTATCATTGTTTTAAAAAGAAATTATAAAAACACCACCCATTTCTAAGAATTTCTAAGAATTTCCAAATCTACTACTTTTTATTAAAAATTGCTCCACTTAGGGGCGGTTAAAACAGAAACCGCCCACCCAGGCTGCGGTTTACCATGGAACCGCCTGGTAGACAAGCGGTTTGTGTTTTTTTTGGGAAAAACGCTCTTTGAAGGAGCGGTTTTCATGGCTGCCCTAGCATAAACCGCGTCCTCTGGGCTGATCCTAGATCCCAGTTCCAAGATCGATGCTAAGATCCTAGAACCCAGATCGATTGACCGGCCGGAGGAGGACGACGGGACGATTCTGACTCTTCCCCGATAACATCCCCGCCGGAGCCTCGCCGCCGGGTAACATCCCCACCACCCACCAGTTTTTCCCAGAGAGCACCGACGTCCGGCGTCATCATCCTCGCCTGTCGGTCGGAAGAGGAGGCACCGGCGTCCGGCACCGTCGAAGCAGCCGACGAAGAGCTAATAAGTTACATTTTAGTACCTGAATTTTTTAAGAAGATACAGATAGGTCCATCATCATGTGTGGAAAATTATATTTTAATACATTAAAAATTATGCTTTACATTTTAACACCTAATAAATAAAATATTTAAGACATGTCCAAAGAAATGGATACCCAAGCCCAATCCATACCCAAAAATAAAATCCAAACCCAACTCCACCTACCCAAACACTATCCAAATCCATATAGAATAAATCCATACCCAACCCATATAAATGGGTATAATTGGGTTTGGGCAAAAATACCCATGGGTGGGTAAATTGCCATCCCTAGTAGACATACCATTTAAGTTTGATTAGGGCGTTGGGTACCATTAAAATTGTCAAAATGTGCATCCGTCTACTTTTCCATCCAACCCAAACTTTTAATTACTTTTAGATACCCAAAACTTTTAAAAACATCCAAAACTATATTTTAATAAATTTTATCTAATATAATAATTAAAAAACCTTATAAACATATTATTACTAGAATGACTAACCAAAATTTTTCAATAAAATAGATAAATTAGGAAAGATTGTAAACAAATATCAAGAAGAATAATAAATATGCTAGAATATAATAATAAATATTAGAATATCTATTTAAACCCCCTAATTCAATTAGAAGCACCATTAGAAATAGTTAAAATAGTTTCACACTTTCACCAAAACTAAATAATTAAAATAGAACCTAATCGATCATCAATACATCAAAATCAAAAAAGATAAATGGAACACAATCAGAAAGAATTAAACATATTTCACTAATTGAAAAAATTTAGAACGAAAAGATATGAACGTAACCAAGTAATATACAAAATATAAAAGCTACAACATCCGGTAAAAATTGTAGAAAAGGAAATATGACTATAAAAGCTACAACATTGTTTAGTTACAACATTCATGGAATAATTCACTTATTAGAACACATAATGATAATTGAAAATAATTATAACGATAATTAATTCTAAAAAATTTATTCAAAAATTGTTTTGGTATCAAGTATTCAAAAGAAGCTTATAACTAAACAATAAAAAATGATATTTTTTATAAGTCCAAATGATTTTTTTACAATAAGAAAAGTAAAAGAACCAATTATGAAATTTAAAAAACATTCTGTCAACTTTCACGGAATGCACTTAAGAGTAAACTTAAGTGGTACCTGGTGCACATATAATAGAGTTTAGTGGTACTCGATGCCCTAATCAAACTTAAATGGTATGTCTACCCCAATTCTCAAACTTAAGTGACACCCGGGTTTTTTTTTACCTTAATTTGGCACCTAAATTTTAAGAATTACAGACTTTACTCAAATATGATATTTTGAGAAGGTTCAAATTTACACATCCCACATATTTGCAAATTCCACATTTCATTTAGGATTTGATTATGAAGGCAAATTTTTGAGACCCATGGTAAATTAAAGATGAAACCATGCTTCCTGTGCCACACCCTAACCAAGAATCAGTTAAGTCATCCCACTTGGTGCCATTCAATTTTGTTTCTTAACACTACTACAAATGACAAATTATACATGAAATTGCGTCCTCTCGCGGACCACATCGACCATAGGGGTAAATGAAAAGAAGAAGCTTAGACCTGGCAGGCGACATTTCAAATTAAAGGCTCCAGTAGAGGGCGGGGTTGTTTGTCAAACTCGCAACACCTACATTTTGCACCGGGAATAGAGTGAAGGAAATGGCTGTTCATTGTGTTTCGATATCCTGCTTCTGCTTCATTCCACAATGTAGTTAGGAGCCACGGCCAAGATCCTGTTGTTCCTAGACGATGACTGTCTTCCACCGTCCCCTTCGCCAGCATCTGCTTGTGCCCCATCATCTATCACGATCAGGTAGCCTTCTCTCCTGATCAGACTCTGCCACACACGAATACAGTTACAATCATAAGCTCTGGAACCCCTCAATTCATGTTCAACCGCTAATGATGAGACTACTATGTTTGCATGATTCTAAAAAAGTGAGTTCTTTTACCTCTATGATGGCTTTCACTTTAAATGCTTCTTCCTTAGCTTCCTCTACCGAACTGTAGGTGTTCTTCTCATTCTGCTGTTCCACGTACCATCTGATCAAGTCCCCTTGCTTCATTCCAGCCAGTCCTGTCCCTGGAAATCCCCCGGGGGAAAAATGGTGAGAGATGTGTGACTACGGTGTCAAGAGTTCCAAGGTGGGAACTCTAGGAAAGATTAGCCAAACGATGTGCAGGCAACCACAACGCAGAGGTATTTGCAGTTTTACCATCTCGCTGTGCAGCATCTTCATGCTGTCTAAGCCGCATTACAAGTGCTTGTGTGACCCTCTGGAAGTACTCTTCAGTAAGTACAAGTTTCTTTCCTTGTTGGGCAGCTGACCCTGCTGCTCCGTTTTCTGCAGAACGCCACAAGTTCAATTTACAAAAGGTGGAACAGAAAGCCAGTTTTTGTTCTTTCTCTGAAACAGAAACGATAACAGTACCTGCATTTTCAACATTGCTAGGTTGAGCATCATCTGCTCCAGCTTCACGGTTCCCGTCTTCATCACCATATTCATTACTCGCTTCTTGAAACTCTGACAGATCTATCTCACTTGACTCCACGCTGCGAAGATAAACAAATAAGCTTAAACCGGTGGTAAGCAGGCATACATGTGACACGCTCTTGATACTGTGCTAAAGAAGTCGAATGTCAGGGAAATTCCTATAATTTTCTTACCTGATAATCGAGGTTTTCAGCAATCTGACTGCTACACGAACATGGCGTGGTTGCACCTGAAAAATAAGGCAACAAGGCCAACAACGTAAGTCAAAGCTGACAATTGAGAAGAATCCTGGATACCAGTAATTAACTTTCTGCATATAAGAAGAGACCTGTGTGTCCAAATGACTTCGAGCTATGGCCTCGGACAGTCTGATCAATGCTTCCAGCTGCCTAACGGTCATGCGATAAGCAACTCTACTCCCAGGAGTAGTGTCACCTCTCCGGAGAGCAACATAAGATTCCACCAAGAGAGCTCTCGCCTCTGCATTCAACTGATCGTACAATTTGTTTTTGTTAAAACCTGGAATGCCAAGTAGCTTCCTTAGGGAACTCATATTGATCTAGGAAGCAGAAGTTTCACCTTTGGTCTCAATGTTTTTGCATAAGCAATGTAACGCTTTAACTGTGCAGTAGTGAATGTAGGGGCAAGGGCTTCTTCACGCTTTTGATGAACTCTCACAATGTGGTGAGCAATATGATAGTCAGTTTGATCATCCGGGTCATCAATCATTACATAAACAAGATCGAATCTTGACAGAATTGGAGGCGGGAGGGCGACATTGTACTGAAAAATGCACACCAGAACTGTAAGTAGCTACAGACAAACATAACTAGCCAAGTGATTGTCCTTGTAAACTAAGGTTTCATGACAGGAGGATCAAAATCGTGTTTTCTTACACAGAGATATTGAACGCAAAGAGAGGAGAGGAAGAAAAAAATATCGTACCTTAAGTGGTTTGGACTTGTCATATCGGCCCCCAGTGGGATTGGCTGCAGCTAAAATTGACGTTCTGGCATTAAGTGTTGCCTGTATCCCTGCTTTAGTGATGCTTATTGTCTGTTGTTCCATTGCTTCATGAATTGCAACCTTCACATCGGTATTTCATAATATGAGACAGTTGCCATTGAATATAATACAGCCATTGGTACAATAAAAGTTACCTGATCTCTAACGTCCATTTTGTCAAATTCGTCAATGCAACATATTCCATTATCAGCAAGCATCAGCGCTCCAGCCTAAGAAAAATATAGGACACAGAAAGGCGCTTTAGGAAGGGGAACCAGGAAGCATGCATCAATCACCAATCAGTAGTGTTCTATTCAAGTAAATTTTTGGTTATATCACGTTGCAGACATGAAAACATAGGTCCAAGCACAAAGTGACAACTGCTGAGATATTTAGAATAAACCATATTAAGTAACTGGATACCTCAATACAAAATTCGCCGGTCTCTGGTTCTTTAGCAACAGTTGCTGTCAGCCCAGCAGCAGAAGATGACTTTCCAGATGTATAAACAGATCTCGGAACTATACCTGCTGTATACCTGGGAGTAGATAGACCATTGATCAGGATTTTAGAAAGTAAGTTTGCATATGTTTTTCTTGTAAGCAGACAAGGAGCTTACTTGAGGAACTGAGACTTAGCACAGCTGGGATCTCCAACGATACAGACATTAATATCCCCTCTAAGGTTGATACCCTCATGGGTAAGCTTGTGAACACCACCCAAAAGCATAATCAGAATTGCTCTCTTGATATCTTGATGACCAAAAACAGTTGGAGCAACACTATCGACTAGCTTATTGAAAAAATCAGGCACGTTCCGCATTCTTTGGATTTCATCCATCTCTTCTGACTGCAAAATGATAATGTAGGCGAAGTTGAAGCTATTTGTAACAACTGAAGTACCAGCGAAGGAACTAGATAAAAGAAGTTCTAAAAGGAGGTTAAGAATATGACGGCACCTAACAACTAATATCATGTTAGTTCATGGAACTAATAAGCAACAATTAGAAATAATCAGCGAAATGTACAAAGCAGAGATAATGTTGCTAACAAGATAGAAACAAGATAAAAAAGGAAGTTAGGAAGAGAGATCGTGTACTCACAGTGAACTGCTGGTAATCCTCTTCATCAGCATCTTTCTTTCGATTCCTGATGTCAACATCCCTTCTGCCATCAGAAACCTTAACATAGCAGCAAAAAAAAAAAAGGGAAGTCAGACGTCCAAGCTCACTATATTAGTTATAATCAGATCTGGCAACAATCAGGAGGTAATGGCAACCTGAACCGAATTGGCGATGAAGGCTAGACGGTACGATAAGTCTCTAACTCCTAATGCTCGTAAACCCTTCACACCTTCATTTCCAACACCAGAATTCTTGCGTTGAGGAGCTTCACGGCGGGTTTCAGCTCTTTCCCCAGGTGAAGCCAAGGCCATAATATCTGGTATTACCACCACAGTGCCTGTGAAAACTACCCTGGTAGCTCCAGGAGAGTGAACCTATATTAAAATCCAAGTTGACCTAACAATCGAACATGTAACGGTTGGCTGAAAGGTAAGAATTGGAATGTGGAAGAATGAGATGCCGACTTACGTATCACCAGCCCTAGCCTGTTCAACAATATCATGGCGAAGGACAACATCCAGAGACCTGGGAAGTGAGCCAGCCGGAATTTCATTGGAAGTTTCTTGCACTCTTACCCTCTGCCAATCAGCGAATTTGCTCTCCGTTCTAAGCAATGCCCATCTCATTCTATTACTGCAAGTTGCATTCACGCAAATGATTGGCTGCAACCAAGATTCAGAATTGCAATAGGCTTAGATTAGTGAGGTAACAACAAAGAAGACTGATGAAAACTAAATTGATCTGTAATGCCTACACACTCACCTCGGTGTATTTGAATTGCTGGTCAACATTTTTTATGACTGAACCACACTCCAAGCACTTGAAAGTCCCCTGGAGAAGTTCTGGCCTCACCTCACTAGTACGAGTTACCACTCCAGTCACTGATACCAGCTTGCCAATTTCAGCAGTGGTCAGCTCCCTTAGTCTAGAGAATCAAACACAATATGCAGTTGAAAGTTAGCTAGGAAATCTCCTTGAGATATTTTAGAAACAAATTACAGAAAAATTGAACACAAAGCATACCGCTTGGAGAAAGGAATGTTGAAGAAGGCAACATTGATATCCTTGTTAGGGTTGTCGTCCGCAATAAACGAGGGCTTTAGTTCAGTCACGAATCTCTTGCAAGCATTCTTCAAGTACGGCTCAAATCTAATTCAATATTTTGAACAGAAAGGACATATTTAGGGGGAAATGAAATAGAGAAGCCCGATTAGGGTTTCCTCCTACAAAAAATTCCCTGCAGAAATGAAACGCCAAGGGTGCTGTTATTACTTTACCTCAAGTACTCGTCAGCTATGGCCTTCTGCAGCAAGTCGTTGTAGCGCATGACGTGGGAGAAATCGATGAACATCGTCGTCGATTCGTTGGCCCTCATTGCCTCGATCTCAGCCTCGTAGAATGGCTCGCCCCCATTGTTGTTGTTATTGTCCCCTCTGAAGCTGAACTCAGACGAAATTAAACTTCCCCACCGTCAAAATTTCACCATCCAAAAGCGTAAAATAACACAGATCTAAAAATGATAGAGAAAAATTCGTTTGACCGAACCTCTTGAGGAACTCCAGAAAAATGTTCTCCACTTGCACTGCCTTCTCGTCCATGAAGTAGCCGCCGAAGGCGTCCATTTTCGTGTCTCCGGTGTGCTGGAAACCGCACTTGGCTCGTCAGTTGAAGTGCGAATGCGCTAGCTGTTCCTCAAAGGCGGCAAGCGAAGCGAAATGCAGGAAGCGAACCAGCAGCTTGGCTTTGTTTCTTTAGTCTGCCCCGTCGTCCCCTGGCGGGAAAATGAAGGACCGATTCCCGCCAAAACTATGGCTATAGCCGGGTCCATATTCTCGGTGGTGCTGGGCAGTGCAATTTGGCTCATGGGCCTGGAGGAGCCGAAATTGGTTCTGGGTTACTGCAGCCCAACCATGTATTTCGAGCTCAAGCAGCCCAATCAATTCTTCGAGCGGATTGTCGTGCCATCCTTCGACTAGGCTGGTCCACCAAACTCGTCGGGAATGCTAATTCTATAGGAGTTAGCATCATACTAACTACTTTTATCATCATTCATTATTTTTAAGTTAAATTAGACTGTAGAGAACAATGAAGGACTTTGTTGGTATTTAGAAAATGAATTATAATTAATTAATTTTGAAAAATCTCTCTCCTCCCATAGAAAATTTTTCGGTGAAGAATATTACTGGAAAACTACTACTACTAAAATTAGTAGTGATTTAGCAAAAATATTATATTAATTTTGTGATTGCTGATAGTTATTTTATTGTCATTCGTAGCATTTTTTTAATTAGTAGTAATTGATGAGTTTTAGAAAAAACACTACGAACAGTAAAGAAAATACTACACATAAACAAATATTACTATAATTATACAAAATACTATTAATAATTAACTAATATAATTGCTCATCACAATAAAAATCACCACTATTGAAAAAAGAAAACTCACTAAGGGGTCGATTAATGTGCATCAAGACTACTTTTACTGTCCATCATGACTCATTAACTACAAAAAAGATTGTCACTAGTGACCAGAGAATTTCGTCAGTAAAGGTGATATTTCGTAGCAAATGCGCTTTTGCGACGCCGTGCATCCGTCGTGCTCCGTTCCAAATACTAGCGTCACAAATATTTTCTTCATGACGAGCAGTCCCAAAATCTATTTTGTGAAGGCTAATAGTCATCTACAATGCATTTCCAAATCGACGAACCTGACGACCTTTATTTTTTATGGCAAAGAATTGTCACGATAATTAATAATCATGTCGGTAATATACTTTCACATTGACGAAGATGACAACCTTTCCTTTTTTTGCAACATACAATCATGCCTTATAAATAATGTCGTGATTAATGCATTTTCACATTAATGAGATTGACGATATATTTATTTTTCTGATTGTAGGTAGTAGTATCTATAAATAGTAAACCTCATTGAAAATAGGGATGGCAAAAATATCCGTAACTGTGGATATCCGCCCGAATCCGACCTAATCGGGTAGGGTAAAACTCGAACCCAAACGACTTTTAGCGGGTACGGGTAAAATCTGAACCCGAATATTGCGGGGAATAGGTGGGCATGGTTTTCTCACTATCCAACCCGAACCCGCCCAATTATACACATGCATATGTACTTTGTCTATAAATAATCATTATTTTCTCTAACATATTTTATATTTAGCAATACAAATATAATATTTTCATGAAATTGTGTTGTTTTAATTAATTTTCTTCATTCTAGTGAATTATTGTCGTACTTTTCATCTGATGTAATGTGAGAATACACGTGAATGTTAAAATATTGGTTGGAGTTATAAAGAGAATTAGTACCCATGGATAACCGTGGATACCCGAAACCCGAACGGGTATGGGCATAGTTTTGTTTTGCTACCCGTTTCTTATGTAGGTATGGGTATGGGTAAAACCCGAACTACTTTAGGTAGGTAACGGATATGCACTATCCGCCCCGACCCGACTCGTTGCCATCCCTAATTGAAAATGCATTTTCACAAAGAGAACTATATTTTATTATTTTTTACATTGGAAAGGTAAATAAAATTACAAATTTTGGAAAATAAAATTACAAAACCACAACTCCAAGCACTATAGTCGTTCCTAGGACCCCTGTGACGCCCAAGATTACGGATCTGGCACTTGAAAAAGAAAGATGGTATGAACAAGATTTCAAGAAATAACTACTAGTAAACAATCAATTTTTTATAAAAGTAAATAATCAAATTTGTTATATTAATAATAGCAAAACTTTTATTTTTTTGTGAAACTTATATTAATAATTTTGTCTTAGCATCTCAGGTGGCTAATGAGAATGTTGAGTTGGAAGGTGTCTTCTTATGTGCGGATCACATAATACAACCTAACCTTATATTTTTTTAAAAGTAAAAAATTTAGAACAATTAAAACAACAAAAATAGCAAAATGTTAAGATTTCAGGGGTTGATTTTAGTGGGTAATGGTGGGAACTGGGACCCAATAATGAAAAATGATGCAAAGTTCAAGAGTTTATTTCAATGAAATTTTTTTGCACTTTGACATCATAAAAAGTTTCAATTATTATATATTTCTAAAAATAAGTATTACATAAAACAATAATTTTCTCCTAAAATCGAAAATCAAATAAGGAGTTGGTAATTTATCTAGAAAGTAGAGAGTCCAATTGTAGGGATCGGAACAACTATTTGTTCTTAATGAAACAATTTTCCTACAAAAAAATGGCCTTATTGACGGAAATTCTTATTTTTACCGACAGGGTATAAGTTTTGTCATAAATAACTGAGTAGTTGACAAAACATTACCAACGATAATATTTTATTCGTCAGAAAAATGATGGCGCCAAAATTTCCTTCCAAAGAATGAGCTTAAGGACGAGGATTTTAGTTTTTACCGACGAGGTCACCCCTTGTCAGAAATGCTCACCTAGTTGACCAAATATTACCAACGAATAAAATATTGTCAATAAAAGTCATTGTTAGTGACAAATTTCATCTGTCGTCTCTAATTTTCGTAGCTATTGTCAGTCTTTCTTGTAGTGCACTGTTCCAACTTGGAAGGGGCTTGGGTGTGGGCGGGTGCAGGTGTGGGCTATTTGGTTTCGGACGGAATTATGCAGATTTGTCGCGTTTGGACCATGGTTAGGATTCTGGTTGGGGGATATTTTTTGTTCGTTTGCGGAACCTCTCTATACTTCTCACCTGCGTTGATCGCTTGGCAGCGACTTGACCCTAGAGTTCTGCAACCAAAGACTGCTTTATTCCACTTGGGGTTCTGATTTCTGACACTGTGCACGTCACTCTTGAAAGAGCTTAGGTGATTTTTGCTTTTGGTGGAGTTATTGAGGCTCTATTTGACGCAGTGAGATACTGGCAGATTTAGTTGTCGGCAGAGATTTTTAATTGACGACAGTTATTGCTCTACTGAGGATAGGAGTGGGCAACGGGAAACGGGTATTTGGGTATACCCGTACCCGTCCCGTTTTTTAAGGGTTACAGGTACTCATATTACCCGTAATATTATAAACGGATGGGACTTGGGATTGTACATTCCTAATATGGGTACCCGCGGGTTACCCGCGAATACCCGTTTGGGTAATATGGGTACCCGTCATACCCATTCAATACAAAGGCAGTCCAGCCCAATTCAGAACCCTGGCCATTTCGGCCCTCACCCTTGCAATTTCAATTCCATTTGGGCCCAGGGCCCTTACCCTTTCAGTGAGACTCAACTTCCCTGCTATAGATTTTAGCTTCCTATGAACCTAAAAATTTGGACACTTTCTGCATTCAACAACACAAGAAAAGTAGCAGCATGCCTCCCATTTGGTTGTGTTGAATGAAACTTCCTATTTGATAATTTGGTGCTTGGAATGATTTATTTCTATGTGTTGTGATTGTTCATGAATGTGTTATTTGCAAACCGAGTATTTGTGATTGGGATGTATTTTGTGTCTTGTGATTGTTAAGCAAATACAAGTTTAAACTTTTGTTAAAATTTTAGTGGTTTAAACTTTGGGTATTTATGGGTAGTATGGGTACCCGTTATCCGTCCCGTACGGGAAATGGGTACCCGTTTCCCATATGGGTTTGGGATATGGGATGGACTTTCGTCTCCAAACGGGACTGGGTACCCGTTTAAAAAGGGACGGGTATCCCGTCCCATCCCATTGCCCACCCCTAACTGAGTAGGTGACTGATTTTTCATTTTGTTTTGTTTATTGAAAAATGCTAATTTTACCTTACCGCACAAGTGACCTAACGGGCACGATTATTTCATCGTCACATCTAAGGTGCGAGAGACTGTCAAATTGGGACTTGGGAGAAGAGCTCCGTTTAGTTGGAGGTGAGAGACACCATGAAAGAGCTAATTTATTTATGTCTGTTGGCATGTTGCACCTTTCTTCCTTTCCACTATGTTTGGATGGGGTGCAAAAGGGAGGGGGGAACAAAAACAATGTACAAATGCAAATTTCAATGCAAATGCTCTTGTTTGGATAGGTTGCAACAGGAGAAGGGGGAGCAAAAGGAGAGCAATTTACTATTTACTCTTACCCCCAATTTGGGGTGCAAGGGGAAGGAGAGAAGAGGGGAAGTGAGTGGTGGGCTCGGGTTTGAATTTTTATTAGTGTTAGGTGGGGCCAAGTAGTGGGAAAATGTGGATTGATTAGTTTTTTTTATTATTTTTTGTTTTAAATATTTTTGCTTTACACCCACTTTATGCACTCCTACTTTTTTCCCAAACAACAATTTGCATCTCTTGAAATATATTCACATCTACAATTTGCGCCTCAATTTACACCCTACTCGAATTTGCACCCCCCTTGTTGCCAAACATAGCATCGATTTCTCCATCTTCTCTCTCTCCAATCTCCACGAACGTTGACTCTCTCTATACGCGCTCATAATCTCTAAGGCTCGGTGTGGAAAAGATGTACAACTACGTGTTCTTATCTGATGAAGTCGACTGGACAGATTTGTGGCGGTAGCTCTTCACCTCGGTTCGGCAGCAGCGGAGACGTTCAAGTCGAGATCCACAAATTCACTTTTTGATTTAAGGTGCTTGCGCTCTCTCTCTCTCTCTGTCTCTCTCTCTCTCTCTCTCTCTCTCTAATGACCAATTAAGAGACGTCCCAGGTCCGCAGTTTGTGTTTTGGTTTCGGGTGATTCATACTCTGCCTCGTGAGTTTGTTTTCTCAAGTACTGGCGATTCGAATTTGGACGGGATTTGTGCATTC